CCAATTTTGAATAGTTTGTTAATAAAAAATAAGAAATAATTATGAATCTATGATCGATTCCGTGCCTTTATAATTATAAGTTTAACTCCGATCCTAAATTTATGGTCCCCTTAATCCACTAATTTTGAGCATTACTTTTTCAACATACGTGCCAACTAGGCTATTGTTGCACCACTAATGGCTACCATGTTAGGCCTCTATTCTCGGCCTCCATTTTCATTCGAGTTAACTAAAACGACATTGATCATCCTTTGATTATTTAATCTAGGGTTCAAAACCTGAAAAATAAAGCCAACGAAGAGGAGAACATTCAAGAGATGAGCATACCCGAGAAGGATAAATGGAGCCAATTCAAACAATATAAGCCAATCTAGATCTATGCAATTAACGGACTTTACAAAATAAACTGCACTTTTAACATAAGTCTCAATCGGTCCTTCTCCGTTTTATTAAGTCATACAACATGCTAGCTTAATTATACACTCGAGTGTGTCTAGAAATAGGTATCAAGTTTTAGTAGTCTCTTACAAGTTTTTCAGGAGTCATTAAATCAACTTTCTAGAACATATTCTTTAATTTTGTGTGGAAGTACCTAATTTTAGATACATCCAAATGTGAATGGGAGTACCTAATTTTAGATACATCCAAATGTGAATAAGGAAATTGTAGGGATAATTTATGAGGTGCATCATTTTGATTATCTCATTTGACGCATATACTACACATTATTCCATTTTATCTCTTTTTTTCTCGTTTATTTGATAATAATTCCTTATAATCCCAAAACATGAAAATATCTAAAAATGTATCTTCTATGCAGGGGAATTTCTAATCTGAACATATTTGGACGGCTTGATAAAATTCTTGCAGAACTCACAAGCTTCCTCCATTTGTACATTTTTGCAGAATACGTGATTCGATTTGATTCTTCTATGTCGATCAGTATATTGCTAATTCAGGTTTGAATCAAAGAGATGCTTACTATAGTCAACTAGAATTATGGCCTTTTATCCTCTAAATAGCCACCACAAAAACCAAGGAATACAGAATATGACATATATGGAAAGTTTCTGTGTTATATGCTGTAGAATTCACTCTTTTATCATCAAAATTATTGTAGAATCTGATCGATCTGTGCTATATTGCCTATATATAGAGGCCAGGTAACTTGGTAGAATTCACAGCAACAAAGAGTGTACTTAACACGTAAACTTGGTAGAGTTAACAAGAATTGAAGTAGAATACCAAAAAAAAAAAAAAAAAGAAAAGAAAAAATGGCACCTCCTAGCAAGCTTGCACAAGTTAGCATAGAAAGTTTCATGTTGTTGGAGAAACTAGAAAGGCGAAATGGGCGGAAAATAGGGCAAACTCACCATATTCATGTTCACCCTCAAAAAGAGAAGGTTATCGACAGCTTTGAGGCTGCTCGGATATATAATGGCTTGGTGATCTGTGAACACCGTGACAAGAGACAGTCTGTAAGCAAGTTTTACTGAAGTCAGTCTGTCAGTGTATGTATGTCTCTATGCTATGTATAATGTATGTTTAAGTAGCTAAAAGTGGTACCCTGGTGCTTGAGTAACACTATGAGGTAGTAGTTCAATGAAGGTCATGCAGTAATCATGTAAATTGTAAAATTATCACAATAAAACCATGAATCTATTGCACTTTTAAAGCTCTTAAACTCTGAATAAGCTCATTTACACATTTAAAGGAGAGAAAATAATGTCTGGTGAGCCAAACCTCTGTCTCATGTGTTGCGCCTTGGCTCCTCAAACCTTTTGGGTCCCGAGTGCCTGACACTGTTTATGACCAAGTTCAGGCTTGTATAAGACTTTGAGGATGGAAAATGGAATACTTGTATAGTTGTATGGATGGGAGGGTCAAGACACAAGAAATCTCTGTTCTCTCCTAGACAGGCCCGGCCCTTAGCCGGTGTAGGGTGAGCAGCGGCACAGGGCCCAACTTTGTTTGGGGTGCCTCAGGGTAACTATTTTTATTTGATATTTGCAGCGAACAAATATCAATATCCCAACAACCTGTTTTTTTTTTTTTTTTTTTTTTTTTTTTTTGCTTTGTTATTTTAAAATTTAAATTTTAAGGCAATTAATCAATTTTTGAAGCAAAAATGCTATTAATTGAGTACTACTTTGTTAAAAAATACTACCTCCGTTAAATGTTATGTGCAACTTTTGCCATTTCGGGATGATCAAGGTTATATGCAACTATCTGTTTTCTTTCTATTTTTAGTAAACAAAAACCTTGGAAATTACATATTTACCCTTACTTAAAAATTTTAATTTTCTTAATTTTACCCTTATGTTACTTTAATCACATTAACCTAAAACGGGTAATTCTCTGTTTCTCATTGTGAGAAACAAGTTTGTTTCTCATGGGGTGTGTCAAGATTTGGAGCTCCCACTCATGACACATACGCGGTCTCCACCAGTGAAAAATATCACATTATTTTCCAAAATGCCATTATGAGAAACAAAAGTGTTTCTCATAATGAGGAACTGGGGCTCCCTCACCTAAAACTAATCATATTACCCTAATTTAACTACTCCCTCCATTTATTATCCCATTTCCCCCCCCCCCAACTACTCACAATCACTCTCCAGATCCCAACCACCAACAATTAATGTGATGGTTGCTCATAAGTTCTTCAGATTCTTCCAGATGAACCCTAGTTCATGTTCATCCTCTTCGTCTTCCTCTCTCCTCTTCGTCTTCCTCTCTCCTCTTCGTCCTTCATTTTCTCCAACCTCACTCTCCATATCTGAACTTTAAACAGCAGATCTTTGACAAAACGAGTCTCACAACACCATGGTTAACCTTGGTCCACTTCATGAGGCGTGTATGGCCACTAACGACGACGGTGAGGGGAAGTTGATTATCACCCTCATTCAATCCATTAAACCGGATCTCCCTTTCCTCGCCAATTCTATGAGTCTGGTGAGGCTAGTCCTTACTGTAGTTCGAACACCTACAAAGCTTTGGGTAAGGTGCTTAAAAGCGTTGAGGAGGAGGGGCGCCTGGAGAGGGCTGAGGGTCAGGGTAAGTCTCGTGGGAAGAAATCGCTAGATTTCAGTGTTGTGACTGTAGATCTAGCCTGTGATAGTGGTGAGGGTAGTTCTGTGCCCACCAAAATACCCAGATCTAAGAGGGCTAGGCCACCCACGAAGATCCGGGCTAGAAGGAAGGCGGCGTTGGTGGCTCTGAGGCGATCCGTGGGTTGCCAGATAAGGAGTGGGTTATTTTGTCCTCTGATGATGAGCCTGACAAGGAGGAGACTTCATCACCTCCTCCAAAGAAGGTTGCTTCAGGTGTCCCTCCAGTTGAAGATGATGAAGTGAGGCGGATGAACCCTAAGGTTCAACCCTCCAAATGACTTCTTGCGTAACGATTCCTAACCCTAACCCTAACTTATTTAATTTTTTATTTGAGTCCCATGTTCGTTCTGTGATTAATTGACTGTTGTTGTTTGCTCTATGTTGCGGTGATAAGGAGTCCCTCTCCTTGTCATGATTATTGCTCGCTTATTGGATCTGTCTTCATGAGTGTGTTGCTTGATAGTTTTTTTTTTTTGTGTTGTTGTTTAGTGATGGTTATGGTTGGTTACTGTTTGTTATTGTTGTTGGCATGTTGGAAGTCCCATGTTGCATGTCTTGGTTTGCATCATCTTCTTGTGTACTCTGCTGCCCATTGTCTGCCTCTGGTTCTTCTTCTTGCATATTTTCATTTTCTGATTCATATTGCTCGAAGTCTTCATCTTGCATTTCTTATTTGATCACATTAGAGGTCTGCCAGAGCTTGTTCAAATTTTAGATGATGAAAAAGGGATAGGTGGTGGTTATTGTTGTTGGCGTGTTGGAAGTCTCATGTTCTCTGGTAATTTGTCTGCTGCTGTTGTTTGCTCTATGTTGTGGTGATTAACAGTCTCTCTCCCTGTCATGATTGGTGTTGGCTTGTTGGTTCTGCCTTCCTGAGTGTGTTGATTGTTGGTTATCTTTTGGTGTTGTTGGTTAGTTATGGTGATTGTTGGTTACTGCTGGTTATTTATGTTAGCAAGTTGGATATTTCTTCTTGATTAGGGGAATGTGATTGATGAATGATGAGGCTATTCTATGATATGGTTTGCAAGGGCTACAATTTCAGCCCCTAGGTGATATTTAAAATGAGGGGTCCTAATTGGTTTTGTTTTGATACACTCAAGTTGTGAGTCCCCCATCTATGTTTTGATAATACTTGAGTGTTGTTTTGTAATCCAAATGATAAAGGGACTCCATTGAATTTCACTTCACACTAGATTTTTGCTCCAACAATTTCTTGTTTGAGGTTGTTGCTGAGGTAACTTTGGTATAAAGTGTTGTATTCAACAATGTGATAAACTCTCGTGATGGATAAATTGGCCACACATCAAAAGTCATTTTCATTTTCATTCCATTTTGAATGTGGGTACAAAAGAACTTACATCTGACTGCCTTACATGGTTACATCATCATAATCAACAAAATACACCTAACCACCTATTCATGCACAAAAATTTTAAAAAAAATAAATAAATAACAGAAACAGCTAAGTGGTTACGTGTGGTAGTCCATGTTGTTCATCTTCCTTGGGTTGGTTTGATGAGTCCCCTAGTCTGCATCTACCTCCATATCTTCTGCTGCATCCTGAGTCCCTTGACTGGCTGGCCTAAACATAGTGTTTAGGTACTCCACAGCTTCCACCACTACTTCCTTCTTTACTTCTACTTGATCTGGTAAAATGCCTAGATTTTGAAGTTTTTTTTTGTTCATGTGTGGTATTTTGTACTTGTTCCCCCCTTTTTCCTTGAGAATTTTGATCATACATATTTGCAAAGTCACCCAAATGTACTTGTTCACTTGAGGCTTGAATGTGTTATAAAACTCAATCACTTTCTCCACTAGCTCATCTAGGTTGCTAGGGAAAGATTGATATTGCAAAGACTGGATTGACCTAAATAAGCCTAAATCCTACACATTTAAATCAGGTGACTGTGCTGGTTGGAAGACAAGTTGAATATTGACCCCATTTGATGTTGTTGCTGCAATAAACTCTTCATCCTTAAGAACTTGGTGAGGCCTTACATTGTCCCATTGAATGATGACATTTTTTGGCAGACTTTCTGGCCATTTAGACTTAATTGCTAGTATGACCTTTGTGAGCAACATCTCCCTAATAACCTCTCTATTCACATTCTGGAGTGCCTTGGTTACCCATGTGCCTGCTGGTGTATTTTTGCTTGATTTCTTTGCTAACTCTTTCACTGTGAATGGGAATATGCATACTTCCCATCATGGAGTACTTCCCCATTTGTGTCATACAATGGCTTCCCAATTAAGACCATAAACATTGCCTTTAGCTTGAATCTTTTTTACCGTTGTGCCCTATATGGATCTTCCTCACTTGGAAGGAGATAAAATTTTCTCTTGTCAGGATTGAGATAGAACCATTTCTCATCTATGTGTATGACATGGTTCATGTCAACAAAAGTGGGGTCCTCATCTACTGTGATTGGATTTATATGTAACAGCACCCATTTCAATCTAGCAACCTTGTGGTCTGATGTGAGAGCAAGCTTGTTACTGCTTGTGTGTGTTCTGAGCCTTCCCTTTTTCTTCAAATTATGAAGAGTTACATGAGAAATCTTCAGGGCAACTGCATAACTTCTCTCATTCTGCCTAAGATACAAAGGGACTGATTGTAGGAATTCATATGAAAATTCCCTTGGCTTTGGACCTGTTCTGTCATACTTCTTAGTCCTGACATCAATCATATTCCCTTGTGCCATCTGTTTTTTAATGTTTCTAAAAATTCTAGTGATTGTTGACTTGTGAACTCTGAATTGGATGGATAACTATTTCCTATGACCCTTAGGTAAGTTGTCATCTTGCATTGTAACCAGCATTGCATCAACAATCTCTCTTTTCTTTTGCAAAGTCAGCTGTTTTCTACAGGCAGTTTAAGTCTCATGGTCTGTTTCATGTTGCATGTCTTGGTTTGCATCATCTTCCTGTGTGTCTTGCTGCCCATTGTTTGATTCTTCTGCTTCTTCTTGCATATTTTCATTTTCTGATTCATATTGCTCAAAATCTTCATCTTGCATTTCTTCATGTTGATCACAATAGAGTTCTGCCAGTGCTTCCTCGGTTAAAAGTTAATCAACATCAAAAAACAATCCTTCATCAAATTCTGCCATGTCTTCTGTTTTATATGTGTTTGTTCAGATTTAAGAAGATGAAAAAGAGCTGGCTGTTGATTTTATTGGGGAGAAGGAGCTGCCCTCTGTGAATACGTAGTAAATGGAGGTTGATTGCTAATGAAGATTGAAGATGTGCAGCACTAATTGTAGTTTAGGGGAACTTTTTGTGAAGAAATCAGATTAGGAAGTGCTCGAAATTATGGTTAAACAATGTCATTTTTTGGAAAAACTTATGGTTTGTAAACATTGAATGATGTGTGTGTTGGAGGCTAGTTTTTACGGGCCTCATAAATGGTGAATATCAGCTTTAAATGCCTCTTAAAAGGGGACTAAATCCAGGTTTGAATTTTGCTGAAAATTCAAAAATTTATCAATTCAAATTTTGGTGAAATTTCGGTGAAAATTTGAGAGGAAAACCACCAAGTATTATGTGTGGGGGGTCCTACTTTCTCTCTCCTTCATTACTTTAATTACTTTCCAACACATTCTCTAATCTTTGCCCCTTAACTTTTGCATTGGCTTCCGCAAACTCTCATTTAGTTGCACATAACATTTAACGGAGGTAGTAATAATAATAAATAAATAAATAAAAATCTACAAAAGTGCTATCATTCGTTTTTTCTATAACCCAATGACGTATTCCATTTACCTAATACAATGTATCTATTACCCAGAATTATTGCATTTATATGAGCGTTCAAATTTAATCGGATGACATATATTTATAAGTCATTAGCTTACTATATCATTTCATTAACAAAAGGGCCTAGTTTTATTTCAACTGCATAGGGCCTCCAAAATCAATGGGATGGCCCTACTCCTAGAGCAACCGGGAGTCCAGGACAAAGGACAATATTGTTCCTCGTCAGAAGTGATTGCATAAGTAAAAAAAACATATATATTAGTTACTCAAGGACAAATGACTTCGTTGAGTTGTGCAATGAAGGGAACGGGGTATATTGTATATAGCAACTAATCTTAGGATTTAGGTCGTTTGGAATATTTAGTAAGCTCAATGGATAAACATAATATGTTTTCCAAAAATGGATCATCTAATTTGCCAACACCATAACAGTAAAAACAGGGGGAGGCAAAAACAGAGAGAAAATGAAAGACATTCAGAATTAAACTAATCACCTGCGATAGTCTGCGTTGTGATGAGATTTGCTGAAGGACCTCGCGTAGTCGCATGTATAGGCTCAATATCTATTATGCTGCTTCGCGTTGTTGAATCCTCTTCAGGCCAGGTACCAGACCACCACGGCTCACCTTTAATCACTAAGGTCAGGGGATCACACTGTGGAGGTCTTTCCAAAGGCTGTAGAACACCTAGGAATCACATTGTAATTTGTAAAGGACCGCAATGCAACTAATACAATTGATTTACTTTAGTTGCAATGTAGTGCATACTATTTATTACTACGTAGTATGTAACATCTTAAAAGGAGTAGCATATTTGATATTGCTACGTAGTATGTAACATTGTAATTTGTAAAGGACCACAAAGTAAAACCTCGAAATTTTTTACAGTAATCAACACTCTTAGTAATTTAGTATATGAAGCAATGTCGATGAATCATGTTGGCCAAATAACCTTTTTCCGCTATATACAAAATGGTACAAATAATTATCTGCCTGCCCAAAAGTACATATAATCAGAAAAAAGCCAGGCAAAGTATGAAGCAACAGATAAGGAAGATTGAAACCCTATTTAAGGACTTGTGAACTTGCATTTCTTGCCTTCTTAACCTTGGATTACTGCTCCCTACTACATTATATGAATTTGGAAATGTGTGCAAGCTCTGTGAGTCTCCAAACACCCTAGCATAGACCATCTCCCCGAACATACCATCAACAGCAGGTTGAAAGACATTTGCAATTCTATCATTCCTTTGGCTGAGTGATGAAGGGGAAGAAATTGGTTCTTCAGACCCAAGATAGCCTGTAGCATAGGGTCGTTGATAAGGATTTCGGTATGGGAGAAGCTGGTGATTGGGGTGTTCAGCGGCATTTAACAGTGCACGGGTACCACAAGCTGGTGGTCTCGGAGGTATGCCCATATCCCGGGAACAGGCCTTAGCCTCTAGCTCAGGATTGCTCAGGGATTGGCCTCGGCCATATAGAGGGACCACGGTTGTGTGAGAGATTTCAGCCTTGCAAACCGGGCATTGTGGATACTCGTCTGATGAAAGAGAGGCACTCTGAACATGAAACCACTTGTAAATACAAGGCCAGCAGTATAGGTGCCCACATAAGGTGACTACAGGTTCATTAGCAAAATCCAAGCAGATGTTGCAGTCAAAAGAGCCATTGAGATTTTTGGCTTCTTTTGGTGCAGCTGGGATAGATTTCCATTTCTGATCATACCGCATTTCAACTTCCATGGATTAACAGTCTATAAACTATATCCCTGAAAGAAATAACAGAGTGGCTACATGTTTTAAAATGACTATTAATTTATCATCATTGGAAAAAATATCTTGCACATTGACAATTAGAAAAAGAAAATAGAAAGGTTAGATGAAGACAGTAGAATATTAAAAATAAACCACATGCATTAGCATATGATTATAGATATAACATGCTTCAATCAATTATGCAGCAAAATTCGGATATATAAATAACATCAAAGGGCCCATAGCATAGCTGGATCATGTTCAAGGAGGCTCAAAGCCTAATATAGCTCATCCAATGATTCAAAGAAGATAAAATTTCAAGTATCAGATATTTAATTATGTGTTTAAATATAGAACTAATTCAAGGGACCACTGTCCCAATCATGCTGGATGGATAAGAATGAATCTATTAGCATAGATATTTAGCACTCCTCCCACGCTACAGATCCTAAAATTAGCAACTCCCACAAAAGACAACTGACATGATTTTCCAGCCTTTCTGGGGTTTTAATTATAGGGATATGAATAATCCGAAATTTTTGCTTCTTTCTTTCATTAATCCACCCTTGAAATATTTCAAGAGACCTTATTCTAGGGATCACATCCTCATAATAATCCCAAGTAATATCAAATTATAAAAGTTCAGATTATATATGTTTATATTTCGAGTAGCAACTTGCCTATGTTACCTCAAGTTATGTCCCATGAAAAAAATAATGGAGAAAGGAGCTTATGAAGCTTCAAAATAACCATTCTTAGAAGGAAGAACAAAGCATCCCATTACAATCTACACCAACCCTATTACAAATGAAAGACATTCATGACAAATAATAGAGAGCAAATGACATAAAGGTTGCACATTTCCAGACAAAGATCTTAAAATTATGTTAGTTTATTCTTTAGCAGAATCTAGCTTAGTTCTTCTTCAAGCCTTTATGTACCCTCAAATCATGTGCCCACTCCCCAGCAATCGACAATCGAAAATGCAATACAACAACCCCTTTCCCTGAACAGCTACATGAAGACGTATGATATTCCCAGTAATCTGACTCATTGAATAAATTGTAGGGATTCTTCAAAGAACAAACAGGTAAGGACAGCCACCTCTATTGATGTCATGGTTTGTGCATAAATCTAATCAACAAAATTGTAGTACAATGAATATGGGCAAGGTGGTTTGCCCCATACAGAATTTTTTGTTTTGTACGAGTGGTTGAGTAAACAAAAGAATTTGTTTAACCAAATGCCTACCAATGTCTCAAAACTACCACCAATCTAAGATTTCTAGTTGTACGGATATTCGCTTGGGTGAAGCATAATCTTTTTGTAATTAGAAGCCACATTACGGAGATGATAAACATAACGGATAATAACTCTACGACAACAAATAGCTAGACCACAAGTGACTCACATTCAATGCTGGTACATGAACATCACCAGAATTTCTAATCATTTGACTAAATTGGCTGGAACCTCCAAATGAATTTTCTTAAGCCCCTGTAGAAATTCAATCCATCTAGCATTTTCATATATATGGACCAAAAAAGATAAATGCACCCACTAATACACACTAAAATATATATTATGCCAAGTCAATGTCCAAACTGGTTAGAAAATAAATCAATCCATCACTCTCGAAAAATATAATATTCCTCCTAAACCTTCTAGACGGTACATAAGACAGACTCAGCATTATTAATTAGAATTATCGATCTCAATTTGTTGGACTCGTGAATTGTAACATAAAACTAATTACCCTTCTGAAGAATCGAATAGCCAGTTCCTTCATTCCATTATCTAGTAGCCTGTGGTTCAAAAATGATAGCATACCAAATACTACGAGTAATAACACCAGATAGTTTAATCTCCATAATATTCCATTATTCCATAGATCCAAGTAATCCAACTTCGAACTTCCCATAGTCCTAATAATTTAGGAGAACATATTAACAACTTAGATAGTGTTCTCGACTTATCTTATCTTATTGTCCCTGAACTTATAGTTTAGTAAAGTCATAACATTCCGTCCTTCGTACCTCATCACATAACAGATAAACTAACCGATTCCACCTCGTTTTTCTCAATCACTTACAAGATTACCGTACATTTTCAATAATTAAAAATACCTCTTACATTGTCAGCTTTTTTTTTTTTATTATTTTTTTTTCACATCATACTTCCTTTGTTAATTACTTTTCTTTTTTTTTTTTTTAACAATTCTTTGATAAAAGAAAAGTTAATACTCCTTCTGTCCCTATTTATTTGTCTTATACGCAAAATGTGCTTTATTAAAAGTTTGCAAGTGGGTTGGGGTATCCTCTTCTTTTACAATTTATGAATGTGTGCAAGTGGGTTGATGGTAGGGACATATTACCATATAAGGAAATGGAAAAATGGTTAAGAGACATTTGAAAATGAAATATGAGACAAACAAATAGGGCAACCGGACATAGGATACTCCGTAAGTCCATATCACCGTTTATCAACCCACAAATTTAAGCATTAACATATCTAATTATCAATAAGTAAAAAATTACTTTGTACAAAAAGTTAATATTACTAAAATATACATTGAATTTCACATGATATATCAGATTGTCACCGATAAAAACGTGAGCTAATTAGCTTAGTAAATATTTATTAGATAAAAGTTATTATTAATTTAAAAATAAATTAATTTACAACTAGCTTAATCATTCAAGCAACAAATAGCTAGAATTGTTGTAGCTTAAGGAGATGGTTTAGCATGACAAGCAATTAAATGAATTAGCCAACCATTGTAGTTGCTCTGGTATTTCAATTACAATTCGCTCCAATTTTTTGTGAAAAACAATAATAAAATAAGATAAATAAATAAATTCAAAATTTGAGCTAAGGCAATTAACAGGCACTCCATCACGATTAATTAAATTAAAAAAAAATTAAAAAAAAAAAAAAAAAAAAAAAGCCATGAATCCTGAAAGTAGGAGTAATTTAATGTCAAGCAAGATAATTTTAACGCAAGAAAAAAAAAATAGAAATGAACAATAGGAGAGAGAAAGAGAGAAGAAATACCAGAAATGAGCAGAGCAGCAACTGCACAAGGAGGAGAAAGAAGGTGGGTAAAAAATGAAGAATGGCGGAAGAAAAAGTAGGAGAGAGAAAGGGGAGAAATGGGAAGATGGAGAGGTAAAGAGAATGTGAATAGGAGAGAGAAAAAGATGAAGGAGACGTTTTGAATTGAAATTGAATGTAAGCTGGCAATTTTCATTGTAATTTTGTAGTTTGTCTGGGTTTTATTACTCGTAATTAGTGGTAAGTGCGTCTTTTAAGATTGTGGGGACTCAGGAGAAAGACGTGGCTACACGACTACACGCATTTGGTAACTAGCTGATGTACATGTTTTATACCATATTTTACCATTATTTTATAGCTATTTTCATATGATTTTGAGCTTTACGTCTCACTAACATTCTCTTCTCTAGTGTGGTTTGATCTATTTAGTTGATTTTGTAGGCATACAAAGATTTTTAGATGATTTGGACTTGTTTTGGATGGCCACGAGAGCTTGTTAAGATGGAGGAGTGATTTCCCGTGTCGGCCTTAGTAGGGCCCTGGCATCCAGGGCGAAGGAAGGAGAAGAGCGTAGTAGTATTATGAGGTTTCTCACTCCATCGACAAGGTAGGGCAGCCTTGCCCTGGCAGACCGGGCAGACAAAGCGCTGCATATGAAGGATTTCTTAGCTTGAAGAAGCACAAGGTCGAGTTTGCTTCTCGCGACCGACCGAGCAGAGATGTCCTCGCTGCCCGGGCATGGTTTCGCGAAGCACGTTTTCATTATTTTTCAAGATTTCTTATTTTAAGGGATATAAATACCCTTTGTAAACCCCGACTAAAACAGACTTAGTTATTATTTCCTAGCTTTTAAACCTTCATTAGAACCCTAATATTCTCTCTAGATCTAGATTAATTTGCATTTTGAAGTTTTGATATTTGTTCATCAACAATTGGTACTTTTCCTTATTCAAGTAATTGGTATTCATCTTTTCTTCCTCTCTTACTTTTATTTGTTTATTAATCATGTTTTCTTCGTTGAATATTGTTTTTGCTTCCGTTAATATGTGTGAGTAGTCTCTTAATCCAGGATCTTGCAGAACCCGAATATGATTGATGCATGAATTAAATCTTTAAATTCTCCAATAATAATCCTAATTGACATGCTTAATTGATTGTGCTTATGCCAATAGTAGATTAGAGATAATTAGTATAGTTATTATTCCCTTGTTTTAATCGCAACGAGAGTTGGGTTTTAACGGAATTGAATAAATTAATTAAGGGTTTGAAGTTCATCATGAGAATAGTTGAATGAATGATTAGGAATTTAGAGTAATGTTCTTAATGTCTCTAATTTGCATGATTCCATGAGAATAGGTATGATTGTGATTAGAGAAGTCATTGATAACTTGAGAGAGACCCTTGGTATTTTCTAGGGATTACTTTTCCTCTTGTTAATTGATTTATGTATTGGGGGTAAAATTGTTAGTAATTGCATTGATTGTATTCGTGGTAATGCTTGATTTTGGACATCTTTAGTATTTGATCTACCATATTATTTAGTTTAATCGTCTTACTTTGATCTTTAATTATTAATTCTCATTTATTTGATTTGGTTACTTGCTTAGTAGCTACTTGAGTTTATTTAATTAGTTGAACCATAGTCTCTTGGAATCCGACCCTTACTTGCCCATCTACATAGTAGAGGTCTAGTTAGGTTTATTTTTGTTAGGTGCGCGACACGCCTACCACTAGCGTTTGGTTTTTACTACTCCGTAGTAAGAACAAATCAGACCTCAACCTTTACGATTTACTTCGTAATATAATAACGTATTAAATACTATGTAGTACGGAGTACTTCAAAAGTGAGAGGGATGGATAATAACCCATAAGCATTAGACTGTTATAAATATAAAAGTTGTCTTGCATATTACTATCCGTTGATATTTCTTACTAATAACGTGTTGCCTTAATGGTAAGGATGGAACATTTCAACTTTGATGTTGGGGGTTTAGTTCTTACACGAGATATTCTGAAGATTAGGACTTTATCTATCCTTCCCACTCTCAAACCTCAAAATGTCTAACATATTGATTAGTAGGACAATTTTTCTTACCTATAAAAAAAAAAAAAAAAAAAAAAAAAAAAAAAAACAACATTGAACTTTCTCATTAACTTTTTTTTTTCCTCATCTCAAAGTATAAAGAGTCTTTCACGTGCGCAAAATCACATTATTGAAGACTTTTTTTCTTTTTATTTTTTTTGAAAAAATTATTGAAGACTATATATGGTCATTTTACCCGCTTAAACTTGCAAAACTTGTGATTTTCCTGTTAACTTTATGTAATATTTGAAATTCCAATACTAAAATGGACCACTTCATCTAGTTATTATTAAAAACTAATCAATTGTTCTCACTTAATTACCTAATACTACGTAATATGAATTGCTCTTTAGTATTCATTTCAAGCACTACTGATGTTAAATTAAATACAATCTTTCCACCTTGTCTTGCTTGCCACACAATTAATTAAGCAAAACAGCATATGATCTAAAAATAGATTGAAAAGGAATACAGTAATAATTTAAATTACTTCTACTGCTCCGTAATGTAATCCCTTAAGGCATTATTAATATTTCAAACTAATACTTAATTATTTATTAATTAAGCAATTAGGCCCTGTTCAGTTCACCTTAAAAAAATAATATTCAGTAAAAATAATTTCAGTTCAAGTTCAGTAATATTAATTTCAGTTCAGTAAAAATAATTTCAATTCAGTAAATATCAGTAACTCTAAATAAGAAATATAAGGCCCTGTTCACTTCACCTTAAAAAATAATAATATTCAGTAAAAAAAAATTCAGTTTAGTAAAAAAAAATCTCAATTTAGTAAAAATAAGTTCAGTTCAGTAAAAATCAGTAACTTTAAAGAAGAAATATAACAGAGAATCAGTAAAAAATAATTTCAATTCATCAAAAAAAATTCAGTTCAGTAAAATTAATTTCAGTTCAGTAAAAATAATTTTAATTCAGCAAAAAAAATTTCAGTCAGTAAAAGTAATTTCAATTCAGTAAAAATAATTTAAGTTCAGTAAAAATAATTTCAATTCAGCATAAATAAAGTGAAGTGAACAGGACCTAATTGAGAATCTATTAAAATAAGTTTAATTTAGTAAAATTAAATTTAATTCAGAAAAAATAATTTAAGTTTAATAAAAATAATTTCAATTCATAAAAAATAAGGTGTGTTTAGGACCTTAGTCAACCATGTTATTGTTGACTTCATCTATACAATAACGGTTCACCCAAGTAAGTGAACATGATTAATAGAGAGTTAGAGACAACACCAATAACTTAGCAAATGGTCACAAACCCACATGCCTCAACTAATGCAGGTCGGTTTATCATGTGCAATGAGGTCGAGCTAAGATGTACTTTTTGTTTCGGGTGAAAATAATGGGACCTTGCCGAAGGTCCGATGAAACGGAGAAGACTAGATTCGGTCCAAGTTATGTTGGGCCGAAGGTTTCCTGCACAGTAAACACACGTAAACTAGCCTCGGGGGTGTTGCCGAGGAAGGCCCCTCCGATGCTAAAGTCAGTACAATGTGTTGAAAGAGAAGACTATGCAAGAGAGTTAGTTGCTTGAGGGTTTGCTTGAATTAATGAGAATCTATGTAAAAATGTAATACTTATGACTTTTATACCTCTTCATACATGGAGAAGTTGGGCCTTAGCCCAATTGGCTTGCCTTCAGGGCTGATCTTTGACTTTAGCACAATTGGAGAGATGAACCTTGACCTTGGGCTTTTATTGGATCATTTAATGCCTAAGCCCAATTGGACTAAATTGGACCCAAACAACTTGCCCCCCAGACCCGATTTGGAAGGATGACGGGCCGGGTTTGATTTAACCAGAAAAGGAGGGAAGTGAATGATTTAATTAATCCAAAAATTTGAATTTAAACCGTAATTAATGAGATAACAACGGTTAAGGCGGATGATTGTGGAAGTTGGACGGATAATGGGCAGTTTAATCGCAAGGTCGTGTGTTTAACGGTTACTTAGTGGGGTATTTAAGAGAAATTGAAACGCGGACTTCCCGTATTCCCATTTCTGGAGATATAATCAGAGGCGCGTCATCTCTCCTCACTTATTCACCAACACAAACCCAGAATTCTCGAGAGAACCCAAGAACCCGCATCAAAACTTCCCAAATTCCCCGAGCATTAAGCTTAGAAACTGAGACTTGCCACTACGAATTCGTAAATCGGCAACTTTCGCTTCAGATTAAGGTAAATTCCCTTGATTTTAGTTTATTTTTCTTCGAATTCGAACTCCTTCCCTTTTTATTCGACTTTTTTCTTCGAAATTATCAATGGCAAGAGGAGTTAGAGGTAGAGCCCGTGCTCCAAGAAGAGCAAGGCCAATTCCCGATCCTAGGAATAGGATTAGGACCTGGAATGGACAAAGAGCAGAGTCTGACCCTGCTGAAGGGATTAGGGCGACTCCAATTTCCTCGGCTCCTCCTCAGAGAACGGAGGGGCCGAGCGCTTCTGGACGGGACGATGAAGTTCCCGCTGTCCTTTGGGATATCCTCCCCGGGTTTTCAGAGTGGGAGGATGCCGAAGTAGCTTCGGCCATGATAAAGAACCGCCCCTACTCATGGTGGGTGGAGAATGCCGAACATTATCGGTTTGCCGAGCAAATTGAGTTGCATTACGGCATTTTTGAAGCTGATGGGTATTGGTGCCGAATGCCCGTGGCATCCGATAGAATCCATCGTCCACCCCCGGGGTATGTGGGGGTGTACACAAGACAACTTCAGTATGGGCTGAGGTTCCCTTTGGACGTATTCGTCCGAGACTTGCTGATCCATTACAATATTTCCCTATGTCAGCTAACTCCTACTAGCATCCGAAGGGTGATGACATACTTATGGGTCTGCAAGTTCTTCAAGTATGTGCCGAACCTGCACTGCTTCAAAAAGCTTCATCGGCTAGTGCCAAACATTCAAAGTGGGCACGGAAGTCATGGTTCTGGGTGGTACCGGATTGAGTCTCGGCCCCAGTACCTAACCATGTGGCCGAACGACTCTTCAGACAAGGACTGGAGAAGTCAATGGATTTGGGTTAGGGCACCCACGGACCCGGGCCACCCTTGCGTCTTCAGCGCTCCCCGGTACCTTGCTGAGCCTGATCCCGACATGGGAAGTCTAGGTCCCCCCGCAGATAACGGCC